GATTAATAAATTATTCAAATTAACATTGAAATATCTTATTATTCAGGCACATAACAGTTACTCTGTATGTTAATAAATGCTTTATTATATTAAGTATATTATAATGCACTAACTTCATGCATTTCCATGACCTAATCTAAAGTGAGGACTATTTATGCTTTGTAAATTCTTTATAAATGACAATTGATGTGTTTACTTGTGCTGTCTTTTACTAATATTTAGATTTGTTTGATAATCAGAGACATTCATACCTGTAGCAAATTCAGACTTCAACCAGCAAGTTTTTTTATATACCAGAAATGACACAGGCCTCTCCCAAGAGATAATAAAACTATGTACTAGAGACATCATTGTAGAAAAACAAATATATATATACAGTTGAAGTCAGAATTATTTGCCTCAATTATATGTCTCAAATGATCTTTAACAGATTCAGGAAATTTTCACAGTATGAATAATTTTTTTTGTCTAATAGTTTTTTCTTCTTCTGGAGAAACACTTTTTTGTTTTTTGTTTTCGGCTAGACTAAAATAAGTTTTTTATTTTTTGAAAAACATTTTATGGTCAAAATCATTAGCCCCTTTTTTTATAATAGTCTACCGAACAAACTATCATTATACAAGAACTTGCCTTATTACCCTGACCTGCCTAGTTAACCTAATTAACCTAGTTAAGCCTTTAAATGTCACTTTAAGCCATTTAGAAGTGTCTTCTATATATATATCGATTGTATATATTGACATATAATTGTCATTTTACATTATAGTTAAGAACAAATTTAAAGTCATTAATTCATTTCTAACTCAATGAAGACTATTTTATTATCTAGCACCAAAGGCCTCACAAATCCATCCGCCTAGATTCTGACACTGATAAGCTCCTACACGAAGAGTAATCAGCCAATAGGGGAAGAAAACAGTGGAACGGGTCACACAGAATGTCTTGTTATCTCTAGTCAAAACACAAACACTGGACTAAAAGAAACATTGGAGGCCTTGCTAATTTGTAAAAGCAGTTTCTGTCCAAAACTAACTCGTTCAATCAGGCTTTAGTGGCAGCAGTGGCATAGAAATACAGTGTCTGGATGAAGGTAAGTGATCCATTGGCATGTCTGTGTGTGATTGAGCAGCTGGAGCTCTTCAGATGACACAAACAGCCTGAAGCACAAAAAAAAAAAAAAAAAAATTTTACAAAGAGAGAGGAGAGCTGGGCAATGTCTGGGTCTCATTTAGTGGATAGTAATGTGATTAGCATTGTTTAGTTTTCACAGCTTCAGTCGGTCCCTCTTAAGACCATGGGAAATAGTTTTGTTTGAGAGTTTGTGTGTGGATGTGTTTTGTATCTATTCGTGGCACACTCTTATTGTTGTTGTTTTTAGTTTTTGGTCATGTTCATGTCCTGCAGTCGGATGTGTTGAATATATACATTTGCACAAGGGATGTGCGCTGGCTGCACATGCTCACGAGAAGTGCGTGTTGAAATGTGTTTACGGACGTGTGCAGTGTTTGGAAGATGGTTAATAATGCAATGAGCGCAGGGTCCAGTTTACATGTTCTGCGCATCTTGACAATGATTGCGACATCTGGAAATAAATAGAGCGGAGGGCATAATAGATTCAGCTAATTCATTTTTAATAGCACAGTGTGGTTCTTGGAAAAAAAAAATTACCACCCTCAGTAGATGCCACTGCCAGTGTTTATTCTGACCTTGATCTGCAAGCTTATTTAACTTGAGTATAATTTAAAGTGCCCCTATTGTGCACTTTCTAATATTACCTGTCATGCAGTAATACAACTGTTTGTGAATATGTAATGTCTGCAAAGTTTTAAACTACACAACAAATAATAATGATACATTTTTTTTTTTTAGAGATGAACCATCAGCAATACAGTTTTTCATTAGTTTTTTAACATCAGTTTTTCTTTAATTACCTGGAAAGCGCTAGGCTATGCCAGCATGTCTTTTGCACATTCACAAAGTCTCATATTATAATGATTGAAGCTTCAAGTTAAATCTGTAACTTACTGAGCTTTTTTTTTTTGTGAGAATTTGCAAGAACACAGAATTTAAAATGCGCTCAACACATATTTTGAGTAGTAACTAATGTAAATGCTTCTGTTTTATATTTATTTTTTTTTCATTAAAACAGAAAGGAGTGTGATTGGCTGTTATTCTCAGAACTTAGTCCTTAGTTCAAATCATGCTTCTACACTGTAAACCGTAATAAGTTAAGACTGCTCAAATGATTTGAGGAAAGTAATTTCCTCAGTTCGTTTTTAGTAATGGAAAATTGACAACTTAATTAAGTTGATCAAATGTGGTGTCTTCACTGTAAAACCCAACAGTCAACTTTATCAACTGAAACGAGTGTAGTTAACTCAAAATTGACTGAAAGTTTATTCTACTCATTTGAAAGGAGTTTGGAATTCAGTGTTGAAGGTAATGAGTCAATTAAATACCTCATTACTTCAACTTAAAGAGTAAGTTCACAGTACTCATATAGATTAGTTTTTTAACTCAAATGGTTTGTTACAATCAGTTTCCTCAAATGGTTTGAGTTACCTTAACTTTTGGGGTTTTACAATGTAATTACTGATAATTTAAATGTTTAAGTACAGATAAAAAATGGTTTATGGACTAAACTTAAAAAATTTTCAGCTTGTATATTCTTTACATACTCCCAGAGTCATTGATATTTAGCCGCACCATGTCGGTGTTTTATAACATCTAATTTTTACAAGGTGGGTGGTTAGCCCAATGCTTAACC